TAGTGGAGTCGCTATTTGTCGCAATCTGAAAATTTCTGATCTTGCGACCTATGGTTTTGACATCCTTTTAAAAATCTCATCAATTAAGGAATGTCCGGACGCCAGACTAATCCTTAATCAATGGTTTTGAAAATAGGTTCTTAGGAGTCGCCACCAATGTTTTACTCAAAATATTGGAAAAAGAAAAGGTTTTTTTTAAAATCCAATAATGGCCTTGATACCAGAATTGGGTTCGGGGGTCGGTTACGTGTAAGGAAGGTTTTAAGCACCCCTATAACGCCCTTAACGAGTGTATTAAAATACTCGGTGACTGAGAAATCACCTTGTCGTAGGTCATGGAGTATGCTCTTGATGTCAAATACTACAAACGTATTGTCCACATTTGAGTAGGTTTCCTTCACTGCATCCCACATCTCCTTGGCAGTATCATAGTACATGAAAATTTCCCCAATTTCATTAGTCATGGTGTTGAGCAACCATGACATGACTAAACTGTTTTCCAGTTGCCATTTGTTGAGATTAGGGTCACCCTTTTCTGGACTCTTGGAGTCTCCTGTGATGTAACCTTCCTTCCCTTTTCCTTGAAGAAAGATCTTAACTGATCACACCCATTAAGGGTAGTTCTGGCCATTCAATTTGTGACCAGTGATAGGAAGAGCAGGCCCTTCCACCAAACTGGTGGCGGAACCTTCTGCCTTGTTCTCTCCCATGGTTGGCGGTGCTAGGTTAGGGATGGTTTAGATCCTGCTCTGATACCATGCAGAAAAATATAATGTATATTTCTCTGATTTGGGAAAAATACATAAGTGGTATAAATAGAATACAAGGGAATAAATCTGCACACTAATCTATCCCTAAAAATCTGGGAAATAATTCTCCCTATAAATGTTGTATCTAAATAATTAAAGGAGGGGAAATAAAATTGATCTTATTAACATTAAATCTTTACAAATCAGATTGAATATTCTGATTGATATATGCTGATCTCCAACAGATTCTGATTGATATGTGATGATATCCAACATGAAGTTTTCTTTCACCAAAAGTTATGAGTTTTAACTCTTTTAGTCAAAAGTATTAGGGTTATGCTATGATATTTGTATTTGAGAAGATACATTTATCATGAGGAGAGAATTATCTTTTATTATTTTTATTGATTTTTTGGAGTATTTTTTTTTGTTCGTCCCTGGAGTATCCACCGTCGATAGCAGTGACTAATCTCCTCGTTACGTTGGAGGCACCTCAAAGGGTGGGATAGCTGGTCCCAAGATTTAACGCGACTGCATACATATGGCAGGATTCGAACCCCTTACCTTGCTTAAGCGTGGATCAACCCCTACCGTTGAACCACACGCTTGAGGTTGATTTTTTGGAGTATTTGCACACACAACTCTACAATAGTTAAATATTATCCACTTTGAGCTCAAGTCCTTATGATTTTATTTTTGGTCATCTCCCAAAAATGCCTTTTACCAATATAGTATGTGTGTTTCATAAACATTTGTTTCTCTTTATGTTCTAACGATGTAAGACATTGTTTGTATCCTCCCAACAATCCTCTCTTCAAAGAATATTCAGTGAAATCTTTGTATATATATATATATATATATATATTATAATTATGGGTTATTGATTGTCAATCCAACCTGCGACTTTAATATTATGTTAATGTTATATTATGATATTTGTCTAAGAAGATATATTTATATCAATTGGAGAGAGTTATATATTTTATTATTTTTATCGGTTATTTGAGGTATTTCCACACACAACTCCACAATTATGGATTATGTTATGATATTTGTATGAGAGAATATATTTATATTAAGAGGAAAATGATGTATTTTTTATTAGTTATTTGTGATATTTGCACACATAATTTCACAATAGTTAGATATTGTCCATTTTAGACTTAAACTTTCATGATTTTTCTTTTAGTCATCTCCTGTAGACACCGAGTTTTGTCCGAGCTTTATCTACAAAGGTCAAGAAGCTTGTAAGATGAGAGAAGCAACTCCTTGAGGCTTAGGAAGATACTGAAGTGAGTTGAGATGGAACACAGGAAATTCGGGAAGCTTCTCTACATCAAAAGAGGTCAAAAAGCCTTTCATGGGTTAGAAACGACCGTTCCTAGAGTCGGAACGACCATTCCCACTTTGCAAAATGTTTGCCAAGAATGACTGTTCCAAATGGCAAAACCATGTGCATTCTACACATGCAGAATGACCGTTCCAAATTGGGAGCGACCGTTCTCCTTCGTAGGTGCCTATAAATACATGCCATGGGCTCCACACTCCACACACCTCATTCTTTCTCCCCTCTTGACTCTTTTCAGAAGCACTCTGAGTAAAAAGCTCATTGAGAGCTTGATTAAAAGATCTTTGGTCCCTTTGGCAAAGACTTTGGAGTTTCTGTAGTCTAAGGGTCCCTCTTGAGTGATAGAGAGGTTTTTGTAGAGCGATGAGGCTGCCAAAAAAATGCCCTTGAACGATTTTACAAGATAATATTAGAGCTTGCTTCGGAGGTTTCAATCTCTTTTCCCTATTTACTGCTTTAATTGTATACTTAGGATAGTCATCATGTAGATAATAGGACAACTGCAATAGAAATAAATAGTCATGCATGTTTAAATAAAGGGGTAAAGCTTAATTACATTGTTATAAATTTAGAATTGTCATAGGGTACTATATTCGAGCGCTATGGGGTGCCTAATATCTTCTCCATACGTAACCGACCCCCGAATCTAACTCTGGATGTGAAGGCCAAAGTTGAATTTGCGAAAACAATTTTCTTTTTCTGATGTTTTGTGTAAAATATCGATGGTGACTCCTTCGAACCATTTTCAAAACCATCAATCGGAGGATTAGTCCGATCTTTGGGCAATCTGAAGCTGATGAGATTTTACAACGGAGGTCCAAACCATCTGTTGGCTATAAGGTCTAGTCGGAATTTTTTTCGAGTTCCGACATCTCTCAAAAGGTCTCTCACTAATAAAATATGTGTGTGCTTTATAAATATATACCTTATTTATATAAAAAAAAGTCATATATAATGTGACTATATGAATAATATAAAATGTGTTTATCTGAAAAATTGTAACTCTTTAATAAAAAAAAAAATAAGATGGTTTCTAGATAGAACCAATCTATATGTTGGAAAAATATAGAATAATGAGAACATAACGAGATCATGAAAATATAAACACTAATTCTTTGCATTCAAATAACTTTTTTTCTTCTTCTCTGTTCTGTCCTTTTCTATTTTCTGAAAAATCAAACCAAGCACAAGTTGTTCTATTTTAAAGACCAAATAATATATTGCTTTAATGTAATAATCATTAAGTTGTCCTACTAGATAAGTTCAGATTCCATAACTTAAATAATTTTTATTTAAGGCAAACAAAGCATCAATTTCTCAAATTGTCAAACTCACTTCCTCCTATCGTGGCCAATTTTAAGCTTCTCTAAAAACAAAACCACTTCTCCATGAGAAGATACGAGAGTAATAATATATTTTTTTTCTTCTGAAAATGCTGATAAATGTGAATACTATTGACACTTCTATATATATCTACACCTATCAAGAGTTGGTACGAAAGCTACAATTAATGATAAAAAATCTAATAGGAGATATTGAAACAAAATGATTAGGATTTAAAGTACCATAGTTTCTCACCTTACAAACAATGAGATGACAGATATACTCTGAATTAGAGTAAGCAAAAGTAGTAGAACTGCAGCAATTGTAGATGATATTCATATTTTCCATGGAGTGTTGAAGTGCTGACGCATAAAGATAGCCTTGTACTTGTTGCGAGGATTTTCATAGAAATTCTTCAAGTCATCGCAAATAGAAGAATACTCTTTACTGATATGTGGCAAATAAACATTTGAGAAAAGGTTGTTAATCATAGTAGCCACAGCATTAGTGTAACCCATCAAATTGACAATAATTTTGTTATCAACTAGTATGTTTACATCTTTATCCACGTTGATAAGAAAATGTAGGATGAATAAATCCTCAGTAACGTTTGGTGAAGATAAGTATTGACATTGCTCAAATGCCACTGTATTCCTGAACCTTATCTCTGTATTATCACAGAGAAGCATGGCATTTCCAAATTCCAATACACCATTGTGAAATTTTAAGTCAAATAAGCATTGACTTGAACTGACCGCATACCTACCTCTGATAGTTGACTTGCACAAGGTAGATGTTTAACCAATCTAACTTGATTTTAGACCAACAAAAACGGAAGGAATTTGCTTAAGTGAATTTTAGGTCTAACTCAACCCTATTAAGTTGACTTATAAGATAAAAATTGTTCCATTTATATATTGTATTTCTATCATATTACTAGTTAATGTAAGATAAACATACTTCCTCTTTTAGAGATTGGATTTCTCAAACATAAAATTTGCAATACTGAATATTTGTGGATAGTCCAACAATGGTAGTCTTATAAGCTCAAAATTAAGATAGCCTTTTATACCATCATAAAGCTAATATAAAAGAATTTCTACAAATTAATTGATATATAAACTAATTTTAGTTTATATGAAAAAACTTATTTCATTTTTTCTTTTTCAGAATTACTTTTGTAAAACTTATGTCTATCCATATAATTCTATCCCCCGTCATTTTAGTTTTCTGTCATATTATTGTCTTCAGCTGAAATATTATCGAGCTATAAGGTATAGTAAGTTAGTAACTAATCTTGAATAGTTTGCTGTCTTAAGTTATTGTGCTTTTCCTGACACGCAGGTTGATGAATCATGCTAATTTGTTATTGACTGAACTTGAGTTCCTCATCTGTAAGACTTTGATACACATGTATATATGTAACTATTAAGACATTTTTGGTTGAACCGTGTATCTTCTAGCTGAAAATCAAACTAATTCATTTAGGTATTGATATTTATTTAAAGAGTTGATCTCTTTTAAAAGATATTCTTCTGTACACACGGATTTGAGAATCAACTCCTAACTACACGATTAAGGAACATAATTATCTGCTAATCATATCACAAATTCACAATCACTCCATGTTGGTTAACTATTAAGACTTTGATACACATCTATTAAAGATTAATACAAGAGTTTCATATATTGATACAATAGAGACACCATTTCTGATAGTCAATGCATGCCTTTGGTTTTGTACCTAGTTGTTTGGATTTTAATGCAACAATCTGTTCTCACTGATGAAACCTGAACTAAACGAGAGACCATGAAGAAATAGGGTGGTACAAATGGAACTCTAGCATAGTACTACTTCTGCAAATGAAAAAGGCTTTTGGGGTTCCCCAGATCCTTATTTCCATGTTAGTAATGGACGAGAAGTTTTAGCAGGATTGACTATATTGCCATTGGAATCATATATTATGACACCAGAGAAATCAGGGAGCTGACACTTCCCCCCCATGAGTATGTTCTTCTGCCAAAGTGAACCCTCTTCTTGTGGCTCACCACAAGTACTCATAACAACTTCATTGTTGAATTCTATGACAGGCTCTTCTTGAAAGGCATAGCAAGAGATCCAGTGACGCCATTTGCGTGATGAATGAGAAGCACACATAAGCAATGCCATGGCACACAGCATAAGGGTCATAACAACAAGGCCAATGTGTGATGAAGAGCTTAGTAGAGGATGCATCATTGCAAGTGGCCGAGCCATAGTTGCTGAAATAGTTCAAAGTTGGATGATATGTTAGAAGCATTATTCATGGGCTTATATATAATGTTTTGTGACATGCATGAATTTATTAACAACTAAACACTCATTTTAATATCTGAATTTGAAAAATACTGTCATGCCTAAAGAGATCTATAAAATATTAAATAAATCTTTAAATTTCAGTACTTGTCATTTTGGTAATTGAATATATATTAATTTTATTGGATAAAACACTATTTGAGTTTCTGAAAATGCATATTGCTAACACTTTAGTTCTTAAAAGTAAAAATATTATAAATAAGTTATTAATAATATTAAGTTCTTAAAATAACTACTTATTGTATTTCAAGTGTGTAAGTCTACATTAATATTATCACTTTTGTCTTATATTTTTTTTGAATTATAGATTAAAGTAAGTAACATTTTACAATTTTACAGACTTTTTTTAAAAAAAAATATTTACTCTTTTAGTCAAGTCATCGACCTACTCTTTTAAAGGTATCAACGATATTTTATTTCAATTCTATCACTTTAGTTACATAATTTTTTTTTTAATTTTAGACTAATATGGTTGTATGTGTATTTTTGTAAGAGTGAATTTTAACAATGTTATAATTTCACGGACTAACATGACATTGAATTTTAAATTTAGAAACTAATTTGAGTGTGTACTCGTTTATCAACTAGCAAGAAAGGGTAGTTGATCTTTAAGGATTTGTTAGCATTTGGTTTTTATTTTTATTTTTATTTTTATTTTTTTTGTGGTTTTGGTATTCATCTAACTCTTAGAGTGAAGTGGTCTAGTTGAGATACTCTTGGGTCAAGAGTGGGTGGTATGCTAATCCTCTTCAATGAATAAAAAAACTCACTCCAAACTAAACTTTAAGAAAATTTTAAAAAAAAAGAATAATAATAGAATGTTGTAACGGGATTAGGTTAGCTATCCTAATAAAAAAAATGTGATGGCACCAAACTGATTTGACTAAACGTGATTATGCAATCAAACACATGATATGCCATGCTTTAGCTAATTAGCTCTCTCTTCCCACCGTACACACACATAAGACCTTATTTCCTAATTGAAGTTTTTTTTTTTAAATAAAAACTTAAATTAAGATAGCATAAAATTTAATATAAAGTTAGAATTAATCACTAACTTCTTTAAAACTTTCTCGTTAGATTACAAATCTTCTACGCTATCCACCATGTAAGTTTGCATAAAAGTTTATATTGCAAGACAAACATATTTTATAAGAGTTAATCACTAATGCATTGTCAATATAATTTTATTTTTTTTATACTGGTAACTAATTATATCTTTTAAATTATTTTTATTTTTATTTTTATTTTTATTTTTATTTCATTAAATAAGTAACTGACATAACACTATTAAAATATTTGATTAATTGCCAGTATAAAAAAACTTTACACTGACAGTATATTAGTGATTAACTCATTTTATAATATTTAAAATATAATGAAAGCTTGTTCAGCATGTGCAGTTTCACATTTAATTTTAATTATTTAATTTTTTTTATCGATAAATATTACGTTGATAAAGTAATAACTTGCTGTATAATAATTATCTTGTCTTATTGTATCATTCATCAAATCAAATTTGGATAAACTGATAAAAAAAATCAAATTTGAATATAAATTTAAATGCACCTTAACAATTAGGTATGCAAATATGTATATAAATCAAAATAATTATATTACGTGACAACATCTTCAAGAACTTATTTTTATCAAGGATGTTAAATCGTTTTTTTAGAGTGTTTTAAAGAAATTGAAATTTTAATTTATTATATTTATTTAATTAATTTTTAAAATAAATTAATAATTAAAATAATCTCTTATCATAACATATATTATTTGTCATAAATATAAAATATAGTTTATATATTATAAAAGCATTTATTTATACAAATTGTCAACATTATATTATACATTTAAATATATATATTTTTTAATTATATATAAATGTTTTTTTTATAAATTTTAGTTATATATAATAAATATCTAGTTTGTCAAATATACAAACTAAAATATCGGTATTAATTAAGGTTTAAGTAATTTGTAAGTATACTTTACTGAAATTTAATTCAAGTTTTGTAATGTAAAATTCCTTAACTATATTCTTGTTCGGAGTAGTCTTTACTTTTAAATTTTTAAAAGTTAAAACTAGCTTTTAATTTGTAGTTCCATATTTTTTTTTATTACTTTTAAATAATTTTATCAATTTTATATATTTATTTTGATAAAGTTCATTAAAAACATGTGAGTTCACGTAATTGTTAAAGAGGAGGATCAAAAGTGAAAACAAAATATTTAAGATAGCATGTTTTTGTGGGCTAAACACATATTGAGATGAGTTGACACTATAAGAAAATTTTCATATAGTGATACACATTTTATAGTGATACAATATTTGTTATTAAAAATTAGATTTACTTACACAATAGATATAATATATATTAGTATAAATTATAGTAACTCACAAAATATGTAGTTAAATCTTATTCAAAATTAACACTAAAATTGTGTGTAACTATATGTCAAATAAATATATACCTACATATTATAATGACACTTTTTATATGTCATTGTATATATCAATTATTATAGTGAGACGATATGTAATTCCACTAAAAATCTTTAAAGAAGTTCATAATTAACTCTAAACTTGCATAAAATTATATCTTATCCTAATCTAAACTTCACGGTCGTTTGCAAATGTTGGGTTGGTATAAGCCACTACTACATAGGAGTGTTCAAATTTAAATCAACCAAATCGAAAATATTAAAATAGATAAAAAAAATTGTAAATTAGTAATTATGTAGTTTTTAATTTTTTTTTTTAAATCATGTGGTTCAGTTTGATTTTTATATTAGAATGTGAAACGGATTCAAATCAAAATTGAACTGCATTTATATGTTAATATGTTTTATTTTTTCAAATACATAGTATACACATATGGCATTGATATATAACATGAAAGATGTTTTATAAATATGTAAACTACTAAATTATAAGTTACTAAAAAGTGTTTTTTATTTTTTAAAATATAATATATGTGATTTAAAATATATTTTATAAAATTGTAAACTACTAACTAAATTATGAACTATTTATAACGATAACTAAAAATGTATTAAATAATTGTTTTCACTAAAATAATAAAATAAAAATCAGTGAAAAATACATTAAGTGAACAAAATTTTTCAGTATTTGTATATTTTTAATTTTATTTATAAACAAATAATATAATATTACATATTTTTAATTTTTAATTGATTTTTATATAACATTAAAACTGCAAAAAGGAAAACCAAACTAAATCGCAAAAAAAATAGATTTCATAATAAATTCAAAGTAAATCAAACTAAACTGTACTTAATTTTTTTTTTTTTTTTTTATAGTTTGAATGACTTTTAAACCAAAATTAAATCAAATTACACTATAAACACCCTTACTACCACATACTCCTATTATGACAAAGTCATCATTCTACCTCTATATATAGAAAAATTTACAATTTCTCTGATGGTGTATTTGGATGAGAGATTTTACGAATTCAAGAAATTTAAAATTTTTGGTATTTAAATCATTTTTATTTTTATTTTTATTATTTTAAAAATATTTTTTTTGGATAAGTCAATTTTAAATTTTTAGTTTGAATATGGTAATTTGTCCCACCATGATAAAATTAATTTTAAAAATATTTTCATATATTGAGATTTTTAAATTAAATTTTATAAAAATAAATATTAACCAATTTTAAAATTTTTGAATATTCAATAATTCAAAGAATGAAGAGATATAAGAGATATAAGAGATAAGATAAAATATATAAGTGAAATAAGAAAAAAAAATATGAAAGATTTCAAATTCTTACTCTTTTTTTTAAAGAATTTAAAATTCTACTATTTCAAGAAATTTCACAAATGCTTAGATTTTAAATTGTTTGTAAATTGTCCATCAAAATAAAGTATTTAACCTCAAAAAATTTAAAAATTTTTAAATAAATAAATTATCTTATTTAAATTTCTCATCCAAACAATAATGGTTTATGGCCTCGGCTCTTTGAGGTCCACCTTGGCTGTATGTGCTATGTTATATGCTTGCACTAACTTAGTATAGAAATCTCCGTGGACGATGTGGCTTATAAAGCTAGAAGGAGTAATTAGAAAATGTACAAGTAGAATGAATCAATTAGTTCCTATATAATTAGGAAAAAACAATCAATGATAGCATAACTTTAATGCATGATGTATGTTAAACCTAAATAGTGATGTATGGCAATAAAGTAGGAAATGTTGGGGAATCAAAGCAGAAAGAATGAAACAATGCTCGAATCTTAATTATTTGGTAAAAAGAAAAGGAACAAGTTAATAAATCACATTACAAGGGTTGCCTTTTACAAATAACCCTTTATTGCTTATTTCTCTTGGTATAAACTTTCCATATATTATAGTTATTGTAAGGACTCACTGTCTCTACACGATATCAAACAATAAATACAACACAAAAATTTCAATTTTTTAAATAAAATTTCTCCTATTAATTTATTTATAAAAGCATATGTAATTTATCACGACATCTAAAAAAGGTATTAACATTATTCATCTTAATTGAATCATATCATAATATATAAATATAGAAAATGAAATAAGTAATGTATATGAGAATGACAAAAAGACTTGTACTCACGAATATTTGCGGATGAAATCTATTATAAATTTTAAATGGATAATTAAATAGATACTTATTTAATAATGAGATGGGATTGAGTAATAAGATATCCGTACCTACGAGTCTCACAGATTAAAAATATTAATAATATCTTTTAAAGGAATTAATAATATTTTTAATTATATATAAAGTAATTTGATTTAATTATTTTTTACTATAAGTATACATGTCATAATTATTTATTATTAATACAAATATATGCTACAAAATTAATTTTTAATAAAACATATGTTTTAAAATTATTTATTTTATTTTATTT